AAGGGTTCATCAGAATACCGTTAACAACGAACAGAATAGATCATCTCGCCTACTCCTGCGAGATTCGGCTACCGTGAATGTAGCGTTTGACTGAACCTGAGTTCATGCAGATCAACCCTGCCGGCACTTCACGTACTGCGCTGTCGAACATAACTTCCCTCTGGGAACCAATTTCTTGCCCAAAGTCTACCTAGGAGTATACCACCAGGACTTGTGATTGTTTGCCCAAAAAACAAATTTCTGAACGATGATCGACGCAAGATGAGGGCCTGGTAAACCTATTAAAATGCCTTCAATTTTCATAAAATATTACGGTGATTTATTTAGACTAAAGCAATTCTTACACGCACACGATATGCCCCTAGTTGTCTCTAAAAATGACAGATGCACTCAAAAATACCTGTGGCAGACCGCCCCCCGCTTGCTGCTTTCACGTAACGCAGACCGCGGAGACCTTCATTATGATCCCCATGCGAGGGTCTCCGCGGTCTTCTCTACTTGACTATCTGCATACCGTGATGATCTCGTCACCGATCACATCTGCCGAACCTGGCGGCCATAGTACACGCGGCCCCTAAACGTTCTCCCTTGCTTCGACCCACGGCAGACTGTCAACGATCTGGGCGGATACTTCTGTTTTCTCAACCTTTTTAGCGGACTCTGCGATCAGCACGGGAGTATCTGGCCGCACCTTCCGCACTTTAGTGATGATCCCGATGAGTCACCCGCGTTTCGGCCAATCAACGCCCGCATTCACTGATTGGCTGCAGGCGAAAAAGGGGCCTACAGGCATACAGGGTTAGGACTCATAAAGATGGACACTAACTAACACAACTGGTCTGAAAAGTCATGTAGTGGTAACTGCTCGCAGACTCTCTATGTAGGCTCCTTATCTTAGTAAAAAGCTGGCCCAACCTAATTTAAATTCTGACATGGGAAACCTTTGTAATATCAACCCTACTACTTCGATACATACACACACAGGCGGAAGACGGCTGGGTAGGAACGAACCCGGATACCACCGGTGACGATGAGGGTGTTGTCCACCACGATGGCCGAGAAGCAGGTCAGACTGTCGGTGGGCAGGCGGGGACAGGGCAACCAGCAGCTCTTGGAGAAGGACAGAGCTTCCACAGAGTCGAGTATGTAGGAATTGATGCCACCCAACACAATCAGGGTGTCTCTTTTCACAGTGGCCGGTCGCGGCGGAGCCAGAGAGGAAACAGCGCCCACCAGATCCGTCGACGATGGTGACGAGTCCTGAACTGCGTCAGTGCCGGTGGGAGCTGCGCTGGAGTTACTGTCTGCGCTGTTTACTTGGGAATCGACCGAAGAGGCAGAGGATAACTTTGCCTTCAGTACTGTTTC